CGATATATTGTAATGCCTATTTTGAGTCTTATTGCTACTTTTATATAATATGGAAAACAGACAATCATTTATGGACATTATTATACTACATGCGCCTATTCTTGTATTAAAAAAAGAGACGTGTTAGTACTGGAGCCTTAGTTCTAGTCTCTAATGAAAGTATTAAGGTTTGATAATATTTTTCTTGGTATGGTGTAAGAATAAATTTTATGTTTGGCACATAATTCCATTACCTAAACATTGCCCAAGCATTTTTAAACTTGGAAAAGGAATGTGAGAAAGTAGCAATAAAATCTATAAATTATCTTTTATTATAACCAATACAAAAATATCACGTAACTCAAAATGAGTAAATGAGTAAAACAAGTAGACATCTACAGCATCTGCGAGTGCTTTATTCATTGAGAAGGCAATTAAATATTGATTTGAAAAACAGGAGTGTTATGGAGATTTTGTTCCAGTCAAAAATTCCAGTACTATCACTTGGAACATTTTATTTGGTTTAGTTTCTAATGGATAAAAGAAACTACTATTAGGTACGATTTTCTTAACTTTCAGTGTTTTTTTAGTTCATTCTTCTTAAATCTATAATCAAAAATAAGTGGATAAAAAAGTGCCTGTTTTGGGTACAGGAGGTATCAGTAGGGTAAATAAATCTCAAATTGTGGTCATGTGTGCTGGCATATTTCTCTGCGCATAGGTTCATTGCTGACCAAAGGAAAGTCCGGTAGGCCGCACTAAAGAACATATCCACTTTATTGTATAGAAAAGCAGCTTAAAAAACACCATACTGTATGCCAGTGATGGAAAAAAGGTTCACATGTATCTCACTAACCATACCGATAAATCATAATAATCATAGGGTGATGCATTAGCCTATGGGTGGTGGCCACAAGGGTTAATATGGCAACAGCTGCTAATGATAATTGGGTTATACTTCCATAAATTTAGACTTTGCATCATTCCTGTTATGGGTTATGATTAAGTGCTGAGGTTAGTGCGATACGCGGAAAAGGGGTTATAATTAAGTGCTGAGGTTAATGGGATACAGATAAACCTTTTTTCCCCAAGTGGCATATAGTATGGTCTTTTTAAGCTGCTTTTCTATACAATAAAGTGGATATGGGCTTTAGTGCAGCCTCCCGGACTTTCCATTGATCTACAACACAGGTGTGCGAACTGGGCCAACATACACGCTGAAGGATTGTGAAATGTGGGAGTGGTAAGCCTGATCAGAGCAGCACTTCTCTGTCTATAGGTTTATTGCTGCATGTATGTCTGCACACATTATTTTAAATATAAGTGCAGTGCAACCCAATAAGATTCCTACTTCACATACAATGCATATAACACCTACAGTACATCAAAAATATACTACATATAAAACACAAAATAATTATAATAAAAGTCCAAAATGAAAAAAAGTCCAAAGAAAACCCTGTGGATTATTTAATGCAGAATATACCTTGTGAATGTATATATCTTCACTTCTTCCTTCAATGAAAAGTGCACCTCCACAGCACCAGGCAAAAAAACCTGCTCACCTCAGATATATTAATACAAGCTCATATAGACTCTCTGAACCATACAACTCCTCTGGACTAGGTCCCCGCTTCTTCTCCAGGCAACTTCCACCTTTCTCTGTGGCATGCACTCAGAGATCAGTCGGTATAAAAACCATGCAACAGAAAGGCCAAGACATAGTGCTTTCCATATAAAATTTATTAAATCCCCACCATTAAAATTGCACTTACAAAACAATATTTATAGTGCACATGTATAAAACCAATCCTCAACCTGCTCACCACTGTACTAGTTAGATGGTGGCGGTATGACATCATAGACTCGGTTCCTCCTCCCTAGATATGTTTGCGCCCTCTGATAGGGCTTCCTCTGTAGGTCTACTGAGGAAGCCCTATCAGAGGGTGCATCACGGGCAAGCCACAGGAGAAGGTGGAAGTCGCCTGGAGAAGAAGCGGGGACCTTGGCCAGAGGAGTTGTATGGTTCAGAGAGTCCAGATGAGCTTGTATTAATATATCTGAGGTGAGCAGGTTTTTCTCCTGGTGCGGTGGAGGTGCACTTTTAATTGAAGGAAGAAGTTAAGATATATGCATTCACAAGGTATTTGCTTCATTAACCGCTTCTGCTCCGCCTTATAGCAGAAATACTGCTACAGGGCAGCACGGGTGTGCAAAATCACATATATGTACGTGATTTTGCAGTTCCGGGTAGGGGGCACACATGCACTGCACGCGCGCCCTACCTGCGCCGCCATTCGTGACTTCGGCTGTAAATCACGGGGTCCCGAACGGTAATTCCCCACCGGCACCTGGCGATCTCCGAGTATTACTGACAGGGGAGAGACCTGTGTATAAACAACACAGGTCTCTCCTGTCAGCTCCTGCACACTGCTTTGTATGGCTCTGCATAGCAGAGCTATACAAAGCAGTGTGCATTCAGTGTAAAAACACACACACAGAGCACACAGTAAAACAGCACACAGCTCACAGTTAACCCTTTGATCGCCCCACATGTTAACCTCTTCCTGCCCAGTGCTATTAGTACAGTGTCAGTGCTTTTTATTAGCACTGATCACTGTATTGGTGTCACTGGGGATGTCAGTGACACCAAGTCAATTCCTCCCAGTGTCAGAATGCCTGCCGCAGTCCCGCTATAAGTCTCTGATTGCCGCAATTACTAGAAAAAAAAAATTGCAGTATATATACTGCCATTTGTAAACGCTATAACTTTCACATAAACCAATTAATTTACACGTATTGGGATTTTTTTTCAGCAAATACATGTAGCAGAATACATCTTGGCCTAAATTTATGACAAAATTAGATTTTTTTACTTGACATGTTTAATAGTAAAAAAATATAGTTCTTTTCAAAATTGTCAGTATTTTTTTTTGTTTATAACACAAAAAATAAAAACCACAGAGGCGATCAAATACCACCGAAAGAAAGCTCTATTTGTGGGGAAAAAAAGATGTAAATTTCATTTGTGTGTAGCTTTCCATGACCATGAAATTGTCAGTTGAAGTAACGCAGTGTTGTATGGCAAAAAATAGCCTGGTCATGAAGGGAGGTAAATTCTCTGGAGGGTAAGTGGTTAAATAATCTACTGGGTTTTCTTTGGACTTTTTTCATTTTGGACTTTTATTATAATTATTTTGTGTTTATATGTAGTATATTTTTGATGTACTGTAGGTGTTATATGCACTATATGTGAAGTAGAGATCTTATTGAGTTGCCCTGCACTTATATTTAAAATAATTTTTTTAGAGGGTGATGTGAAATTCACTTTTTGTGTTCAGTCTGCAACAGTGTTTATATTAATAGATTTGGACATTTAGTATAGGGTTGTGCTGATTGATATTATAGTTTTATTTATGTCTGCACACATGCTCATGTCCAGGGGCGGACTGACAACTCATGGGGCCCCCGGGCAATAGGGGATCATGGGGCCCCTGTGTCCTTGCCCAAACTCAAAAAAGCCTATGAAAAAGGTACCAGGGGCATCTCATGGGGCCCACTCCTAACCCCGGGCCTTCAGGCAGTGCCCGAGTTTCCAAATGGTCAGTCCACCCCTGCTCATGTCTGTTCTCATGCTTGCTTTGTTGTATGTATGCATGCAAAGTGTGCACTTCCAGTACTGGTGCCAAGCAGTCAGTTTAGGGTTCATCCCTGCCTCAGGAAATTGCTGACCACTCTTCAGGTGTTAACCTGTAATACACAACCTGACTTGTGTTCCTGCTTCTTTTGTTATTATACACAAGCAAGCAATTTATTTATTTCAGATACTTACATAGTTCAGTCAATTTACACAGCACATATATATATATATTGTACATTCCTTAGATTGTCCCTAACCCTCAAGGGGTGTACAATCTAAGGTCCCTAACTCACATTCATACACATACTAGGGACAATTTAGACAGGATCCAATTCACCTCCCAGCATGCCTTTGGAGTGTGGGAGGAAACGCAGGCACAGGGAGAATATGTAAACTAAAGGTAGGTGATGCCGTGGTTAGGATTCAAACCAGCGACCCTAGTACTGTCAGGTTGAAGTGCTAACCACTTAGCCACTGTGCTGTTGGTCCCAGGAACCCACAGATAATGATTCCAGTGCTAATCAAAAATATGTATATATACACATTTATATTGTATAAGAGTGGGTGTCACCACAAAAACAAGCTACTGAATCATAAAGTTATTAGAAAACAAAATCACATCTAAAAAAAAATAAAATAAAATATATGTTATTAATCATATAAAAATGACCATATCCAGGGCACCGTGTTCCTATCAATGCCCCCCCCCCCCCCCTACAGTCTCCACTAATCCCTGCAGACAGTTAAAACACACACATCAACAACCTCGCCATGCCCAGGTGCCTTCACTGCAATGACCAGTAAAATATACTAGGTAACCATGATATAAGATTGTCTATCATAACATATTCAACGATGCTAAGAAGGATTGCCAAAAAAAGGAAAACAAATGTTTTATAGCAGCCAACAAGTGACTTGTGTGGGCCTAATGTACTTCCAGGTGGGCATGAAGGTGATAATGATTCAGACTGATATGGGTAAGTCAGACCAGACACTGGTAACAGGCACCCAAGAGGGACATAAGCATACAAAATAAAAAAATTGCAAAAAAATGTATGTACAGTATGTCCCGGCACAGCAAAAATAGACCAGTCATAGAATATTGTGGCCCTTTTGACTAATAGTCAGTGAACATGTACAGTATATGTATAATGAGCCACATAAATGCTTTTTTTCAAAACCTTACTCCAAATGTAGTAAAGCAATCATTAATGACCTGTCCTAAAACCATAAGAGGTTAGAAATATGCAGCAGGTATGGATATACTCAAAAATCCAGAACACTAGTGTAGAGATAAACCTCTTGGACCACTTTGCTTGCACACTACTATATATGACTGAGATTGCCATGCCAATCATGTGTTAGTCCAGAACAGTCAGTACCAGGGGCGGACTGACCATTTGGAAACTCGGGCACTGGCCGAGGGCCCAGGGTCAGTAGGGGGCCCCATGAGATGCCCCTGGTACCTTTTTCATAGGTTTTTTGGAGTTTGGGCAAGGACACAGGGGCATATTGCCCAGGGGCCCCATGAGTTGTCAGTCCGCCCCTGGTCAGTACGTAACTACATGTGTGCCACCAGTCGCACACATGCCCCTCAGTGCTCAACATACAAGGAACAATATCTGGCTTTTGCCATTCCCAGTCCTCACACCAACGGAGCTGCATGAATGCGAATCAGGTTTTTGCGAGCTGGCTTGGACTCCAAGGAGCACAGTTTAAACAAATGTGACTGGGGCTGCCACTGTGAGTGATACAAATATTTCTGATAGATCTAATGTTGTCGTAACACAGCCTGGATGAAATGTGCACTGGGGCACGTATGTGTCGAGCCTCCACTGCATAATTAGTGTGATCTCACCCATTATTAGATGTGCTGAACAAAAGATCCATCTGTCCTGTGTCTTGTGTTATTAAGCTACATAGACCTGTCGGCACAATGGTGGCTATTGGATTGAAACAAATTGTAGATGCAGGCTGGCATGCACTCCCACATGGAAGGCACAGATGGCAGGGAAGACATACCGCATGACGTCAAACACATTTTGTCTCACATACTCAGGAATTCCTCAGGATGTAAGAGGGAAAGTTTCTGGTATTAGGCTATATCTACTATCTCATACGTTGCCTAGTGACCTACCAATTAAATCAGTAAATACACAAAATTAAACCAATGTACTGAAATACACTTATACCAAACTAAATCAATGCACTGGTAGGAACACCCGATTTCCTACCTGGAAGAGTATGTTGGAAACAAACCATGACTTTGAAACTTCAATGGCCCATGAAATTTACCAAATGAACAATGTGCACATTTCAGAATGGATAAGGCAGGTAAGGATCTATGGGAGTTCACTATGAATTAGCAGGTCCCCTATAGGGCCATGTTTGCAATAAGAGATTATTTATGACTTAGCTTCAAGCTTCTGTTCAAGCTTCTTGTGCAGCATCAAGCATCAAAACAGGCCAATGTTTCTCCAAAAGTAATTTCAATACAATCTAATGGATACCATGTGACCATCGCTAGTTTTCGCACTTGTTTTTGTTTTTATCACTTCTCTTGTCAAACCTGATTACTGTTTTTTTTGCAAATGTGGCAAACCCTTGGTTCAGGGCTTCCATACTTTGTCAAGGATAAAAAATGATATTCTCTAAAAGTTTGAAGATTTAAGTATTCTTGAAGGGTGTGTGTTGCTGGTGTGAACATAGAATCCTTGTACACCTCAATTCCTCAAGAGGTGGGGGTACATGAGGTGACCCAATGGTAGGATTAGGGCCCTGTAATCAGAGAAGTTAGAGAGACACGCACAGGGTTTATAGTAGTATAGAAAAAAAAAAAAAACCTAATCAGCTACACTGTTTTTTTTTGTAAAATAATGATTGACAGGAGGTAAAGAAGGCATCTGAAAAGGTTGGGAGAAAATAAGACACAAAATTCCCACTTTTAGCAGCAAACATAGCTGTGCAACACAATTCTTCATATTAAGTGAACTAGACATTCCTCCAGAGCAGTGGTAAGATTTGTAATGCTGCAGCAGCCAGGGGTTGGACAAAAGCCACGTGTTTTGCAAAAAAAAAAAAAAAAAAAAAAAAACTACCAACACAAAAAATGTCTGCTTAAAATGCAGACATTGTTTCAGTATATCCCTAGGAATTAATGCCTCGGACAGAAAAAGTCTACATTCTAGGCATTTTTCCCTGGGCACATTCTGCTCTAAATATTAGTACCACTTAATGCACCAATCAGCCGCAGCAGCTTTCAGCCTTCCATAGACTTTTTACATGCTGCTAGAAGTAGGGCTGGACGGTGCTCTCATGCTGTCAGCCCACAAGAAAATGCTGAAATCTCACGCACAGGGCTCGTATGATCAAGGGCTCAAATCCTCCTGAATGAAAAATATAATGCAAACGTACAGCTTATCTGTAGGTAAAATGAATATCTCCTAAATGTGCACTGTTTAGGAGATATTCCAGCGAGCAGCAGTCGGTGACATCACAGACGCATGCGCACTGAAGGAACGGCATACCTATGCTGTTCCTTCAGAGTTCTGTGCCATGCCTGCGGCTCTTGCACATGTGCAGGAGTGACATCATCGTGGCTCGACCAGTCCGATGGCTGGTGCCTGCAAACCTGGAAGGAAGACTGGGTGTAGATGGGAGCTTTGTCAGCGGTGACAGCATGCTGCTGGAGGGCTTCGCTTTAAGGTAAGTATTTCATAATGTGCTGAAGGCAGGATAGGCTTCCCTGAAGAGATAGGTTTTCAGAGATCGCTTAAAAATGGACAGGCGATAGTCGAATAGATTGGGGTAGAGAGTTCCAGAGGATGGGGGAGGCTCTGGAAAAGTCCTGGAGATGAGCATGGGAAGAGGAGACAAGGGAGCTAGAGAGCAGGAGGTCGTGGGAGGAGCGGAAAGGACGGTTTGGATGATATTTGAAGACAAGATTGGTGATGTAATTTGGGGCAGAGTTGTAAATTATTTTTATTATTATTATACAGTATTTATATAGCAGTGAAATTGACTGCTATAGGCAATCATAGTGTACAAAAAAAAAATTTACCGATCACTTCCCCAAAGTAGTACAATGTTATTACGGTAACATTACATTACTCTGGTCTTAGTGTTTTATTTTTTAAAAAATCATTTTAGAAAAAGACAGAAATTTACTTGCTGCTGTACTACATGGTCACAGTATGTGAAAAAAAAAATTGGGAAGATTTTTTTTTTTACATTTTTTTAAATTTCCAAAAAATCATAACAAAAAAATGACAAGTTAGAAAACTCACCATGCCACCTACTAAATACCGCAGACTATCTACTTTCCAAAAAGGGGTAATTTGGGGAATATCTGTACTGTCCTGACATTTTTGCGCCTCAAAAAATGAGATCAGTGCCGTCAGTACATCAGGATTGATTGACTTTCAGATATATACCATAGTTTGTGGACTCTATAACTTTCCTACAAACTAAATAATATACACTGATTTGGGTTATTGTCACTAAAGAAATGTATCAGAAAACACTTTGACCTAAATTTATTAGGAACCATAATTTATTTGCAAAATTTTATAACAGAAACAAAGAAAAACTTGTTTTTTGGACTTTTTTAATTTATTTACAAAAAATAAAAAATCCAGTGGTGATTAAATACAAACAAAAGAAAGCTCTATTTGTGTGAAAAACATGATAAACAATCTAGTCTGGGTACAGTGTTGCATGACCGTGCAATTGTCATTCAAACTGTGAGAGCGCTGAAAGCTAAAAATTGGCCTGGGCAGGAAAGGGATAAAAGTGCCTGGTATTAAGGTATTTAATAAACGCACACCATAATAGGGAGGTGTAGAGAGAGCTGCAAATTGCCAGAAGAACACATAGGTAAGGTAACCACACAAAAAGGGACAACTGGCAAGTTTGAATCTGGCTAGATTCTTGCCACTTGTGCTGTGAGCAGCTAGTGAGGGCTAGTTGCTAGAAAGACCTGTATCTTATTTTTGGGATGTAAGCTATAAACTTGTCACTAGCATAAAAAACAAAAAGCAGATCTTATTCCGTCCAATCACATACTTCAGAAAAATAGATATGGTAGGATGAGGCATTTCTGCTGTTGATGTAGGAGTCATGTATTATGATTTGCTCTTTGGTATGTGTGTTTTCTTGAATTATGTGTTTGTGTTTAGATGGGTTTGGAGCTGGGTCTCAGTAACTATACATTTACAGTGCATGAAAACAAATTTATCATGCACTTTTTTGCATTCCCTTTGACTATTATAGGTGCCTAGACTCACATTGATGGATGAAAAAACTTACCTGAAATATTCTTTAATGGCATGCCACAACGCAATGCATCCATGATCCTTACCCACTGAAAATAATGGGACGCCCCCTCCCTTTCCCTTTAATCTATCCTCCTATTCATAACTGTCACCTTCTGTGCATTGATATTATATATATGTCATGTTGGCTGTTTCACATTGCAAAAACTCCGTTAGTGCTCTGAAATAGTTACATTTCTCTTTAGTTGAAAAATACAATAAATATTATTGAATAGGGAAAACATTGGGATGCCAAGTAACACAGTGTTGTGATGCATTATTACACCTATGTGAAACAGGATCTTAAAAATAATGAATATAGGCTAAGCTGAAACTGCTGGAAATAACTGCATAGAAAAGGATTGGGAACATAAACATTGATCAAATAAAAAATTGCTGTTTAGTAGAAACATAGAAACAGAAAAATGACAGCAGAAAAAGACTAAGTGGCCCATCAAGTCTGCCTGTGTGTGTGTGTTTTTGTGCTTTTTTGTTAACTGTTTTGTCTGAGTATAGATCTATGCTTGTCCCAAGCATGTTTGAAGCTATTTACTGTTGACTGGCTCACCAGTAGTGGTAGTAATAAGAAAAGGTTTTATTTAACCAATTCAATACCGGGCACTTTTTACCCCTTCCTGCCCAGGCCAGTTTTCAGGTTTCAGCGTTCTCACACTTTGAATGACAATTGCGCAGTCATACAACTACCCAAACTAAAATTTTATTGTTTTCTTCACACAACTAGAGCTTTCTTTTGGTGGTATTTAATCATAAGCTGGGGTTTTTATTTTTTGCTAAATTAACAAAAAAAGACCAAAAAGTTTGAAAAAAAAAAAACCACACGTTTTTCTATGTTTCTGTTATAAAAGTTTGCAAATAAATAATTGTTCTTCATAAATTTAGGACGAGATGTATTCTACTACATGTCTTTGGTGAAAATAACCCAAATATTTTTTAGTTTGTAGGAAAGTTATAGAGTTCACAAACTATGGTATAGATCTGAATATTGATCAATCCTGAAGTACTGACAGCCAATCTAATTTCTTGAGGTCCAAGAATGTTAGAATAGTACAGATATCCCACAAATTACCCCTTTTTGCAAAGTAGACAGTCCAACGTACTTCATAAGAGGCATGGCGAGTTTTTTGAAGTTGTATTTTTTTATCATAATTTTTCGGAAAATGAAAAAATTTAAAAAATTAGTTTCACTATTTTTTTTTACATACTGTCACCAGTGCAGTACAGCGTCATCATATAACTGGCATGGCGGTGAACAGGGACACTGACTGGTGACAGTATGAAAAAAAAATATATATATATATTTTTTTATTATTTTTTAATAAATGTTTTTTCTTTTTTTTAAGATTTTTTTTCATATTTCACTATGACCAAAGTAGTACAATGTTACCATAGTAACATTGTACTACTTTGGGAAAGTGGTCAGTATTCTTTTTACACAATTTGCTTATAGCAAAGAATTACTTTGCTATAAGCAAGCATTTACCTGAATGACATCGATTCATTCAGGGTTTTTTTTTTTTTTTTTTTGTGCTTAGCTGTGATTTGGCCACAGCTAATCACATGACATGTGCATGTGATTAGCTGTGACCATTCACAGCTAGACACTAGTAGACAATGGACGGCATGAATGAAGCCATCCATTGTATACAACTGTCATGTGACCTGCTGTGAGTGGTCACAGCAGGTCACATGGTACCGGCAACGGTACCATGTCAGATCTGTCATCGGCCGTGTCCGAGGTACACGGCCGGTGACAGATCGCGCTGCTGCGCGGCTCTGCAGGAGCGCAATCTGCGCATGTGCGGGAGGACGCCATATGGCGTCCACCCGGAGTGCTGATGACATTTGCCAGCCACCATTCGGCCATAGGGCGGGCGGCAAATGTTTAAAAAAATTCTACCCCTATATTTTTAATAAAGGAAGCATATACAGTATAGTACATGTTACCATTTAATAAAATAAAAGAACACCGAAATACATAAAATAAGCATATACAGTATGCAGGGCTTAAAATTTCGAGTCTAGACCTACTAGCCAGGCACAAACCTTACTCTCCACCAGTTGCCCCTCCCAACCTTTCCCAGGTCCTCCTCCAACCCCACCCCCATCCTGTCCCCCAACCCAACCCCTGCCCTGCCCCCAACCACACCCCTTAAAGCTTATAAAATTACAAGAGTCCAAAATATAAAAAAACTGCAATTATAACATAGCTTTATTATGTCAATTTAAACATCACAGCAATAGCAATAGTTGTGCTGTGCTTTTTTTTTTTTTTCTTTTTTACTTTTTGAAATATTTAGGCCCCAGAGAGCAGCACTAAATGGTGTGGTTGTTTTTTTTTAACGTTGTTTGTGGGTTTTTTTTCACTCTTTTCTAAATCATTTTGCCCCCAGAGCGCAGCACAAACAATGTTCTTTACCTTAAGCTGGCGGGGTGTAGTGATGTGCACCATGGTCTCTCCTTCACGTGTCCCCCACGCCAGTGTAGAGCGGCCCTCTCCTTGTGTCCCCGAAGGTGGTGTAGAGTGGGCCTCGTGTCCCCCAAGGCAGTGTAGAGAGGGCCTTGCATCCCCCAAGGTGGTGGAGAGTGGGCCTCGTGTCCCCCGTGGCGGTGGAGAGCGGGCCTCTCCTCGTGTCCCCCACGGCGGGGGAGAGCGGACCTTTCCTCAGTCCCCCACGGCGGTGGAGAGCAGGTTTCTCCTCTCAGCGGAGGAGAACGGACCTCTCCTGCCCCTGTCCCCTCAGCGGCACTACCAGTGTAATGGCGGTGCCGAAGAAGAAGCCGGAAGTCGGAAACCGGAAGTTGGAAACCGGAACTCAGCTTCACAATGAGGCTTGGAGTGCAGGTGGAGCCGCTCCATCTCTGCTCGCCACACAAGGATTTCCCCTCGCATTTGGTGAGGGGGCGAGCGGCTTTTTCAAGCCCTGCAGTATAGTACATGTTAACATTTAATAAAATAAAAGAACACAGAAATACATAAAAGAAGCATATACAGTATAGTACATGTTACCATTTAATAAAATAAAAGAACACAGAAATACATAAAAGAAGCATATACAGTATAGTACATGTTACCATTTAATAAAATAAAAGAACACAGAAATACATAAAACACAGGAATATTGTTACCCTGCATTTACTTATCCAGCAGGTGGTGTGACCCCTTCTCCTTCAACTGTCATTAACTAATCATAGAACACTTATTACTAGAGTGTTTCTGTATGACAGCTGAGAATGAGAACGCAATCCATGCTGCTGCATGACAGAAGCATATGTTTAAGGACGGGGCAGCACAACCATATCTTTGATGTTAGAGCCAGAGGTCACAGTTTAGGCGCCTTTCCCTCCCTTCTTCTTGTACCTACTGAAACACGCTTTTGGTCACATCATCATAGAAATGTTAAATCAACTTCCTCATACAGTATATGGTAAGTTTGGTCCACTGACTTGTCTGTTTCCGCTATTTGTAGTGTTTTAAATATCTCACACTTTATAATAATAATACGTTCTTTGGATGACAGCTTAACAGTTGGAACACTTTTTTGTTATATTCTGACACTTTTGCAAAAAAGTGTGACATAATTAAAACTAACTAGCATAAGTTAAAGTAATATGAACATGTGAATGCATGATCTTACAGAAGAGCTATACATAAACTTGTCTGGTTTCTTAGCTATCAGAGTGACTCATGTTCCTGTGGGATATTAGATACGCAAAGAACCTCAAAGTCCAGCGTCTGCGCATATTCCAAGTTAAGAAGAGTTATATAATTTTAATTGCTATACTGTGTATATAGTAAGAAAAAGTTACTTGGCGTGCAGCATGAAATGCAATTTAATGAAACTTCAGTAGTGCTTTGGAATGGGCCTGCTGCATAATTTGGGCCTGCTGTCATCAGTGTAATAATAGCCATAGCAGCCCACGCGGCTGCTATGGGACCTAAGGGTAGGTGGGGACCCCAATAGGGAGGTTGTTAAGGAAAACTAAGTTTTCAGTATAGAAGGGTCAGACCTCAGGATTGTTGAGAGTCCCCTCTGTGCAGTAAGGTGAATTTACTTTTGCTGTCTTAGCTGGGTAGATTTATTGCCCTCTGAATGTCTGTTACAGACTGAAATTAACCTTGTCTGCCTAATACAGTCAAAATTTCAGAGTTTCTACTTAATTAAAACATTATACAGCTGACAATTTTCCAGCGCTATATACACATGTATCTGCAGTGATACATTTTTACTGACTTTGTTAATGTATGTGTATGTGTATCATACCAAATGGAACAGGGGTACAATGTTTGTTTATAGTGTGGTGCTTCTTCAGAAACAAGGATAATCTGTGGAACAAATATAGCATATTAATTTCACATATATTTTAACATTAGCGATACTCAGAATAATCGAAGGGATTAATCTAAGGTTATTAGCAGTGTACTCCAAGGTTCAGTGTTGGGACCCTTAAGCAGAGTGGCTAAATGGTTAGCATTTCCTCCTGGCAGTTCGAATCCCAGCCACGGCACCTCCTGCCTGGAGTTTTGCATGCTCTCCCTGTGCCTGCGTGGTTTTCCTCTGGGTACTCCAGTTTCCTCCCACACTCCAAAGACATGCTGGTAGGTTAATTGGATCCTGTCTAAATTGTCCCAAGTATGTATGATTGTAAGTTAGGGACCTTAGATTGTACGCCCTTGAGGGTTAGGGACTGCTGTGAATGTACAATATATATGTAAAGCGCTGCGTAAATTGATGGCGCTATATGAGTACCTGTAATATAGGGCTTGTTTACACTTCAAAATGTGGCATCGGACACTGTACTGCAGACGAGCAACCCATGCAGGCACAGTGACTGGTATGCTTCCAGGTATACGGCATAAACATGTGCAACACCTCCCGTGATTGTACATAGCAGACGTCCATCAACAAGTCTTGGCCAATGATTCATGGCTGGGACCTGCTGATTGGCAGTGTACAATCAACACAGGGCTCTGTACTGAAGCAACAATCTCTCTGTTTCTCATCCCTACAATGCTTAGTAAAAGCGGCACGCTTTGCACACTGGCATGCAGTGAGGAGCAGCAGGAAGGTGAGCGAGGTCTAGACTGGAGCAGAGCAAAAAGCAGACAGCACACATGGTGTGCAACATGGGAACGCTATAGTGGATGGCGAGCGGGGACCGGAAAGAGAGGACAGAGTGGCAGAGAATCAGCAGAGCTAGGGGCCTGGAGTAGGCGAAACTAGCAATATCACAAGTGGTGCGCAGCGTGGAAGCAATATAGCAAGAGGTAAGCAGGAATGAGAGAGAGAGAGGAAGATCAGCAAACCAGAGGATCAGCAGAGCTGGGGGTGAAATTAAGAATTCATTAAGAAAATTTGTTTTTTTTTTCAGAATTTTCAGCAATTTTTCATTTATATAGCAAAAAATAAAAAGTGGTGATTAAATGTCACGAAAAGAAAGCTTTATCTCTAAAAATATCATTTGGGTACAGTGTTCCATGAGTGAGTAATTGGCATTCAAAGTGCGACAGCGCTGAAATCTGAAAATAGGCCTGGGCAGGAAGGGGGTGAAGGTGTCTGGTACCAGTTCAGTATTTGCAGATGACACCAAGCTATGCCTTAGAATAACATCCTTACAGGATGACTCCAGCTTAAATGCAGACCTCAATGCACTGTTTAACCACTTCTTAACCGCGCTATGGATGAATGACGGCTACAGCATGGTCATCCAGTTCTGGGGGGTTGTCATATGACATCCTCCCAGAAGGTGCCCCCAGCGGCGTGCACCCGGCGCTCTCTATGATCTGTGTGTCCTTTGATGTAAACGGCCAATCACAGTGGCCTTTTACACTATGATTAGCTGAGTCCAATCACAGTTGATCACCATGTAAATACACTTGACAATTATTGGCAGTACTCTCCTCACACTGTCATAGCATGAGGAAAATACTGCCGATGACTGGCAACAGTGAAAGGATTCATCTACACTGATAATCAATGCACTGCCAGTGCCCTTCAGTGCTGCATATTAGTGCCCCTCAGTGCTGCCTATCAGAGCCCATCAGTGCCACATATCAGTGCAGCCTCATCAGTGCCTCCTCATCAATGCCAACCAGTGCTGCCTCATCAGTGCAACCTATCAGTGCTGCCTCATCAGTGCCACCTCATAAGTGCCCATCAGTGCTGCCTATCAGTTCCTATTAGTGCAGCCTCATCAACACACATCAGTGAAGAAGAAAAATTGCATGTTTGCAAAATTTTATAATAGTAACAAAGAAAAACATTTTGTTTCACAATTTTCAGTCTTTTTTTGTTTATAGTGCAACAAATAAAAACTCAGTGGTGTTTAAATACAACAAAAAGAAAGCTCTATTTGTGTGAAAAAAATTATACAAATTTCATATGGGTACAGTGTTGCATAACCGCGCAATTGTCATTCAAAGTGTGACACCACTGAAAGCTGAAAATTGGCCTGGGCAGGAAGGGGGTGAAAGTGCCAATTAGGCAAATGGTTAATTGGACAATTATGTGGTAAATGAGGTTTAATGTTGACAAATGTAAAGTTGTGCACTTGAAGGATAAAATATGCATGCATCATACATACTAGGGGGGTACAACTGGGGGAATCAATGGTGGAGAAAGATCTGGGTGTTGTGGTAGATCGTAGACTTTATAATTGCATGCAATGCTAAGCTGCGGTTGCTAAAGCAAGCAAAATCCTTTCTTGTATTAGACAGAAAATCAAGAGAGAGAGACATCGTCTTGCCCCTGTACAAAATTGTTAAAAAGAACTCATCTGGAATACATAGTTCAGTTTTGGGCACCAGTTCATAAAAAGCAGAAAGTGCAGAGAAGGGCAGTGCCAAACTGATAAGAGACATGGAGGCATGCAGGCAGTACAGTGGCTGTTGTTAGCACTCCCACCTAGCAGCACTAGGGTCCTCAGTTTGAATCCCAGCGACAACACTAGTTGCCTGAAGTTTGCATGTTCTCCCTGTGCCTGCACAGGTTTCCTCTGGGTACTCAGGTTTCCTCCCTCCCACACTCCAAAGACACGCTGGTAGGTTAATTGGCTTCCTTCTAAATTGTCCCTAGTATGTGTATGTATGAATGTGAGTTGGGGACCTTAGATTTATACTCCTTGTGGGTTAGGGACTGAGGTAAATGTATAATATATATGTAAAGCGCTCTGCAAGTTGATGGCGCTATATAATTACCTGTAATAAATAAATAATGGAGGAGCTTGGCTATGAGGAAAGATTAGCTGAGCTAAATGTATTCTCTATTGAGAAGAAGAGATTAAGGGGGGAATATGATCACCATGAAAAAATATATAAATGGTCCATATAGTGAACTTAGTGTAGAGTTATTCATTTTAAAATCATCACATAAGAAAAGGGGGCACTCTTTATGTCTGGAGGAAAAAAGATTTAATCTCCAAATACAGAAAAGCTTCTTCACAGTGAGAGCTGTGAAAATGTAGAATAGACTTCCTCAAGAGCTGGTTCTGGCCAGCTCAGTAGAACTTGAACACCAGAATTGGCAGGTCCGCCACTGGCGCCCTGTGCTTTTCACAGGTTAGAGCAGGTTCACCTGGAGCACAAGTGACAGACGTGAAAGGGTCTGAAGAAGCCATGTGTCAGGGCAGGCGCGCTGCGGAACGGACAGGCAGGCCTAAACAATGTAACGCACTGGCTGACGACAACCACCACCCACAGACCGAAGTCCCTCAGGGCGCAGAGTCTAAGTCCCAGGCTGCCCTTCACCAGAGCCCCTGATGGTGGGGATGGACTTGACGCAGCCAGGAACCAGGTCGCGGCCCCCGAGACACCTCATTTGTGGTAATGGCCACCGCCAATGGCATGTAGCTGGTGGAAAAGACAATAGAGTAGTCAGGCAGGCCGGGTCAACAACAACGGGACAAAACGGTACAGGACAGCAGACGAGAATCACAGGTCACGAGCTGGGTTCAGCAACAGAGGGTCAGATCAAAGGAGAACACAAAGAATAGTCGAGTCACAAGATTCCAGGAGAGTCACGAGAGTCAGAACAGAGTAATAGCAACACAAAGACACAAGACACGAGTGCAAAGAGCATGTGCGGACCACAGGCTTATATGTCATCAGCCACACCCCTCTGGGTGATGGACCTCAGAGACCTGAAGGCATAAAGGATTCCCACCATGCTCAGCAGAAATCCAAGATGGATGCCAGCACATGGAGTAACATAACCTCTGGGAAAAGGTAGGACCTTGACACCATGGAGAACATTATGCTGCCTGTAACATCGTTCAGCATGACTGTTTTGGTGGGCGGTCAGTGATGGTCTGGGGAGGCATATCCATGGAGGGACGCACAGACCTCTACAGGCTAGACCATGGCACCCTGAGTGCCATTAGGTATCTGGAGGAAATCCCTTGGACCCATTGTCAGACCCTACGCTGGTGCAGTGGGTCATGGATTCCTCCTGGTGCACAACAATGCCCGTCCTCATGTGGCAAGGGTATGCAGGCAGTTCCTGGAGGATGAAGGAATTGATACCATTGAATGGCCCCCACACTCGCCTGACGTAAATCCAATAGAACGCCTTTGGGATATCATGTTTCAGCCCATCTGATGCCGCCAGGTTGCACTGTCCAGGAGGTCTGTCCAGAAGCTCAGTGATGCCCTGGGAGATCTGGGAGAAAATACCCCAGGACACCCTCCGTCATCTCATTATGAGCATGCCCTGACGTTGTCAGGCATGCATACAAGCACGTGGAGGCCATAGAAACTACTAAATACCATTTTGAGTTTCAGCAAAATGGACTAGCTTACTGCATAATTTTTTCACTTTGATTTTCAGGGTGTCTTAGAAATGAAAATATCAACTTACAGAGGACTGAATTCAATCAAATGATGGGACATCCTTACGTTCCTAACACATTACCCAGTCCATGTCAGCATAGATATCCAGCATATTTTTCCCTATTGAGATCTGATGTGTTTTCAAAGTGCTCCTTTAATTTTTTTGAGGAGTGTATATATACACTATATATATATATATATTTTTTTTTTTTATTAGCACCAGGGGTAGTTAATCCAGAAAATATCAGATTGCCTCCTGGGGAATCAAAAATATATTTTTCCCCTTGTTGGAGAAAATTGGATCATGCTTTATTGTGTTTTTTTGGCCTTCCTCTGGATCAATTGTGAGTGCAGGATTGAATATATGGAATATTTTTATCTGTGTGTGTTTTTTTTTTTGTGTCTTCATTACTATGGAGTTGCAGCACCCAACAATTCAACCATACAACAAAAATCAAATGACAAGACACTATGAATTTAGCAAATAAATGGCCACTGCATTGTATGGGTTTTAAATCACCTTTTAATTATACCAAACAATTATTTTATTGAAAATTCAACTATTGCTTAGTAATCAGGACTTGAGCACATCTACTATCAATCTCCTGAAATTCATTTTAGTCCTCCACCAGCTGGGGTTGTTGAACAAACAAGCCCAGTCTGCTCAAAACCACAGCCATATACATGATTGTAAACTGAAAATAAATTTATTCAGAAACCTGAAAGATGTGAGCCATTTTGTCTGTACAGGTCGAGTAAACCTAGTTCAAAAGGGCAAAATAAAAAAACATCAATTAAAGGCATACTCTTTTCCATAGATTTATTTAAAAAGCAACTCCACTTTTGTTGAGGAAAAAACAAACCTCTCTGGGTGATCTATGTACATTGCAAGGATTTTCTCAAACTTGCTACCGGAGTCCTACCTGTATATTCTACTATGTCCTAGGACAGTGGTGGGCAACCTTTTTTTTTCAACTGAGCCAAATCTCGCCAAAACCACGATTGAAATTTATTTTGAGAGCCACATTTTTAAAACTGAAAATACATAGGATGGTACACTGTTTTTAGTTTCAATAAGTTTTTATAGTAATTCATCCCCCATAGTAATTCATCCCCCATAGTAATTCATCCCCCATATAGTAATTCATCCCCCCTATAGTAATTCATCCCCCCTATAGTAATTCATCCCCCCTACAGTAATTCCGCCCCCATATAGTAATTCCGCCCCCATATAGTAATTCATCCCCCCTATAGTAATTCATCCCCCCATAGTAATTCATCCCCCATAGTAATTCATCCCCCATATAGTAATTCATCCCCCCTAAAGTAATTCATCCCCCCTATAGTAATTCATCCCCCCTATAGTAATTCATCCCCCCTATAGTAATTCATCCCCCATATTAATTCATCCCTCATATAGTAGTAGTAGTAAGTAAGTAGCAAGTAGTAAGCCAAGTCCCCCCTGTGTCAATTCACTTACCTTTGCTCCACGCGTTCCTCTCGCTGTGTTCCCGCGCCGTTCCGGTCTTCAGGGCGGACTGTGAGAGGAGCCTAGCTCCTCTCACGTTCGTCACGCTGCCCCGCCTACACACATCCTGACAGCCAATCACTGGCTATCAGGATGTGAGTGGCAGTGAGACTGGCCAATCATTGCATTTGAGCGCGCTGCCCTGGCTGTTTTTTTTTTTTTTGGTCACGCTGCAGAGTCCCTGCCGCCCGAGAGGAGGGAGGGGAGCGGGCGCCTGGCACACAAGAGCCGCAGTAAAGCGTGTAAAGAGCCGCATGTGGCTCGCGAGCCGCGGCTTGCCGACCACTGTCCTAGGAAGACTGGTTCCTAAATGGGAGTGTTTGTGTTCGGTCTAATCAGATAATGCACCTGCAATCTTGTAATGAGCAAAGTTTAAGTGTCTGCATCCCTTTAGAGGTAATTAACCTTTAGAAAGTATCTCACTAAAAATAGAATTCCAATTGAAGAGCATGCCTTACTTGTATCTTCATGCAGACTTCTGGGAAAATCAGTGAGCCAATCACACACGCAGGTAATTACATTTTTGGGGACACCCTAGACACCAAGTGTGTACAGAGGTTTTCAGGTTGCCATATTACATTGAATTTTACAGAAAATTACAGCAGCTGTAGATTTAAAAGAAAAGGTAATGTTTAATAACACTAAAGTGAAAAAAATGAACAAAGCATAACCTTCTATAGTGTTTATTACTTCAATCCAAAGCACCAAGTATGAATTATGTCCACTCTTTTCCTCCCTCTTCTATATGCATATATGTCACTTCTGACAGGATATTCTGACACCACA